GCACCGCGACGGAGCCGCGGTGAGCGGGGTTTCTCGGGCAGCTTTTTCCCTCCAGCGTCTCTTCCGAGCCGTCGTGCCGCCTCCAGAGGCTGCAGGCGGGACCCCGAGAGCCCCGGGGTGCCGGGGAACCCCGGCTGGGGGCCGCGAGCTCTGCTCAAGCCCCGTTTTTCGCAAGAAGCAGAGGGTGTGTTTGAGCTTTCCGGTAGCCCGTGCCTCCCCTCGAGCTGCCCTCGGCGCTCCCGCTTGAAAAGGGAGGGGAGGAAAAGGGGGACGCAGGTGGGAGCCGGTGACATCCACGCGCCGCTCTCGAGGGGGACCCGAACCTTCCCACCCCCCTGGAGATGGCCGAGGACGAGCAGCCCCCTCCTCATCCTCGCTCACCCGCAGGCCGGCTCTCGTTTTTCGCTGCCTTTATTAGACTGCGGTTAGCTTTTTTTTTTCCTTTTTTTGGGGTTTGTTTTTTTTCCCCTCCTCTCCAAAACTCGATGCAGTTGACGGGAGCGGGTTTGCAGCAGCAGTGAGGCAAGGGAGGCCGGGGGGAGGACGAGGACGGTGTTTCGGGACATCCCGAGCCCCCGTCAGGCGCGGGGACAAACTGATCCGGGGCTTTAACGGCAAGAGCGGGCTGGGGCGCTGGCGTCGCTGGGTTTGTTTGGGGTGTTTTGTTTTTGGTTTTTTTTAACATCTAGCTGTGTTTTTTGTTTGTAAATCTTTGGATTTGTTTAATATTGATGGTGTCTCCAGGATAAAATTGGGCCTCTAAGGGCGACGCTCGGCAGCTGCGCCTCTCCCCCTTCCCTCGACGTCTGCCTGGCGCTGCCCGACGCAGCACGAGAAGGTGAGCTGCCACTTGTCCCCTGGCCTCAGGGCCGCCCAGAGGGACCTCCCCTCCGCCCCTCAATCCCAAATCCCTGCTTCCAAGATCCCGGCTTGGCTGCCAGAAGAGGGTCCCTGGTCCCCAGGGAGAGCTGCCCTTGTTTCCCCCCCACCCCCCCCCATGTCACTCGCTCCCACAGGTTTAGCCCCAATTCCCAGGGGTTCAGCCCCAATTCCCAGGGGTTTAGCCCCAATTCCCAGGGGTTTCGCACCATTTCTCCAGCTTGGCCAGGCCCAGGGGCCGGGCGCGAGGCTGGAAGGGGGTGGCAATTCCGCAGAGGTTTTCATCCCCCCTTCATC